GTCAACAGGACTTGGTCACTGATTGGACATCGGGTTTGGAGAAGGAAGAAGCACGGAAAACTCTGGCCCTTCTGGAGCATCAGAAGACTGTACTGTGGGCCCGTCCATGACTTCATCCAGGTGGACACCACAAGCAAGAGCAGAGTGAAGCAACCTCCTCTGACTGCTTCACAGGTGAAGGAGCAGAGGAAAGACAGGCAGCCTTTGAGGACTAATCAACAGACTGGTTTGTCGACTGCCTATGTGACACACGTGAGACCTTGGACACGCCAAGAAATATCAGGAGTAGGAAGACACATCTCCCTAGCCTAGAACTTTTGCACAGGAAAGGTGGATTATGCTGCTATTGCGACTTTATTTATAACCAAAGACTGCTGAGGCCTGGGGAAAATTAGGTAAACAGCTAAATCCCAGAATTGTGCCAAAATGCAATTTTGATGTTCAACCACCACCTCATCCTATTTGATTCACATCTATGAAAGCATCATTACCACATGGTCCATAATGGAAGAAGATAATTCTAAGATACCAAGAGAACATGCACTAAATGGCTCTAATGACTAAATGGGGCTTCTATTAAGAGATAAATTTTACATAACCCACAGTCATAAAAAATTCAGTGCTTGGTTTGTTTTTTTTTTTTCAGTCATTTTCTAAACACCAAAACCAAGTAAATGAGCAATGTTCTAAATAAGTAGCACACAGTCCACAACCTAAAGCTGTGTACTTACATTCTTCTTAATTTTATTCTTGATTGTTTCAATCACTCCAGCCTCTTCACTTTCACACAGCTTTTCTGTAGTTTTTAAGTCATCACACGCCAACTGCATTTTTTCTTCCTCAAATGTCATCATGGCATTCTTCCAAGAGGTAAGGAAAGAATGGATGATCAGTTAGTGCCTGAAAACTTACGCCAATTTATCACAACAAAACTCTAAACTAGAAAATACCAAAACAAACCAAAGCAAAAAACCACTTAAAATTATTTGTTGCAAGTAAAAGAATCAAAATGTTACACAGCATACCCTACTCCTTTACAGAAACTACAGTTTGTGGTTCTTACTAAACAGAGTAAGAGAAATTCTGTATAATTTCTGATTGGTTCCCTCAATTCAGTTTTTAAAGCAGTATATCTCATTCAAAAGTTCATTCTACTCCCACATAGATCCTTGGCTCCAACGAGTACTGCACAGAAACGCTAATGAAACAGCCTGTAGGTGCTCTTTGAATATCATCAGTCTTTCCAGGAACAGCAATATCAGTGGGCTCACTTATAAGGAATTCATCTTACATTGTCTACAGTTAAAAATTCCACTGACAGTTGGTTTCCAGGCACCTCGTGCTGGTACATTTTCAGGCCACATTTGCCTGGGTAGGGGCTGAAACCTGCAACTTTTACCCAGTAGGACTGAGGTTTCTGAGATTAATGGTCTGTAGGAGCAAACACAGAGTTGTTGCAGGATACCTGGTTCTTGGAAGGACCTAATGGATTTACCGTCTTCAGTTCTCTGTTCCCTATCAGTTTCCTCCAGTTCCATCTGGGCATTCTAGGCCTCCTCAGTATGGCTCTAACCTACTTCCCCATTCTAGCCAAACCAGACCACAGTCACCTTTGCCCGAATGTCCCTGCCACACTCTTCTTCCCAACCACCCTCTCAAGCTGCTGCAATCTCAACCCTGCCACAGCCTTGCTCCCCACCCCCTTCTCCACCACCAGCTCAGCCAAGACCCTGTGACTCTGTCTCTCTTGCAGCCCTTGTGGCCACTTGGGTACTAATGTTACGATCCCCACCCAGTGCCATTTTCCTCAAGGCCTTGTAAACAGTAGGCCTTACCATTTTGTTGTATTAACTGGTGATGAGAGGAAATAAATAGCTTGAATGAAAACCCGTGTCCCTGGAGACTGGCCTGGTGCCAGTGGTTGGGCACCACCAGGCTGTGCGTGACATGCCCATTTGCTGACATCTTTCTAAATCCAAATCTAAAGGCTTTCGATCTATTCATGACTTTTTTTTTACGTTGTTATACAATTCTGATAGTTTTTTTTAAATTATGTGTTTAAAAGTAGTTTGCAAGATAAGTGTTTCTGAAACATGAAAGCATCTAATTTTCTACATTGCCCATTTTACATTACCAATTCTGTATTACCAGTTTACCTAACTGCAACCTATTCCCTTAATTCTCAGATATTAGTGTTTGGAAATACTAACCAACAAACTTTAGCTTTGTTTCTTTACCTTGTCTCCTAGTCCACATTTATTCTATAATTTTAGAGCAAACCTTTATTACCCAAATTCAGATCTTTTTTTGCCTCTGTAATGCAGTTTTAATTTTTAAAGAAGTCTTTCAATTACATGATGATTCTAACAAGGGTTTTGGTCAGGAAAAATGTAATATTCTAGAAGTAAGGTGTAAGCATTTTATTTTTAAAATCGGGAAAGAGAAGTTATCTCATAGGCATTGGTTAACAGGCCAAAACTTTATGTCGGTTTTAAACCCTAATAGATTTTCTAAAACAGTGTATCTGTACAGCTGGTAGATATAGTTGTTTCCTTACACCAACACCTCTCCCCGTAGCAACTTACCAAAAAACTGACAAAGCTGGCTCCAAAACTCATTAATGGGCTATGATTTCTGTTAAGAAAACAAAATAAAATTATTCTTGTTATAAACTTTTATTTTAAAAGCATTTGATATATCAGGATCACTATATAATCCTAATAATTGAATAGAAGAAATTAAGGTCATCAAGCAGATGAAATTACCCTAAGAAAACAGTTAAAGAGGCAAGGTGATTCACAGCCCTGTCTGCCAGGATAGAGTCTGCCCCTGATTCTTTAGAGAGCGAGGTGGACAATAAAATCAAATTACAACAAGGACTGCCTTAGCAAACTTTTAAATTGTGGCTACTAAAGAGTTGACATATTTAATATAAAGATGGCAGAAATGATCCAATATTTGCAAAATCATGGCCAAAAGAAGATGGTTACTATTCATTTTTAAGATGTAAAACTTGTCCAAAACTTTCTACTTATATAATCAGTATAATTTCTAGAGTAGATCAAAGAGTTTCCCCACTGAACCAGATCTCACAAACTCATCTATGCAAGAACGTTAAGAACACTTCCTTAAGAGTCAGCCATTCCCACTGTGATTGATACTCAGTCATTTTCCAACTTTATAGTAAGCCAAAAACAAAACAAAACAAAACCAATACCAATTAAATTTAAAGAATATAAGAACATAAACTTTCTGCTTCAAATTCAAAAATGGTACAAAACTGAAATCTCTAAAAACTGTACTAAAAGGAAAACCAAGTTGTAATTGCCTTCTTATATAAAAATCATTTCAATATGCAAATAATATGTGGTCAATATAGAAAAAATGTGACAATTTAGTCAATCCCCTTCTGGATATGTAGGTTGTATACAAAGTGATTGAATGTGTGTGTGTATGAGGCAGATAATATGCACATCTATATGTGTATATTGATATGTACATATACACATATACCTAATGTTTGGATGAACATCTTTGTACATATATTTTTGCAAGCAGGTCCAAATATATTCTTGGGATAAATTGTTACAGGTAGCATTACTGAGTCAAAGGTATGCACATCCATTTTTCTCTTGGAGTGGTGTATGTGTATGTGTGTTTGCGTGTGACAGAGAGAAAGAGAGAGGAGAGAGAGAGATCCAGGACTCAACCTATCTGGAATGTTAACATTCTGCTAACATTTTTTTCATCTACTTTGTACCAACCCAAATTCTACAGTTAATAACAGTTTGTTTACCCCACTTAATAGGATACTTAAACATACAACAAAATAAACAAACAAACAAACAACCCCACCCCCCAGGTGATCACTGGTGAAGAATCCCAAACTAGCACTTCATACCCACACATCTTGCTCGAACAGCACACTATTGTGAAGTCTCTGTCATCCCTACAATCTGCTTCAAAGAAGGTACTAGTTTTTCTCATTCCATAGCACTACATAGATAAAACATCATAAACTCTGACCCTACTACATTATACATCATATGTGCCTGACACATTGCAGGCATTCAACAAATATGAATCGGTGAAGGAAGGAATGACACAGAACTGTGCCTTTCAGGAACAGACAGCTTTCAATCAAATGCTGATTATTAGGATTTTTCCCTTCTTTTCCCTTTCCTTGTTTACATGTTAACCATTTTGCCACTTGAGAAATGAAAGAAGCTGAAAGTAGGGCCTAGTGTTGCTATATTTGCTTCTTGTTCTTGACTAAAATTAGGTTTCTGAGAGCCATGGCAATTAATTATTCATGGTACCTAGCCTAGCCCTTATTACTTCACATACCATCTTATCACTTAAGTGAAAAAAAAAAAGTAGAAACCAGCCCAGCGGAAACATTTTCCCCTCCTCGAAGTGCTGTCTGTAACCCCACAGCACCCAGGTGCATCAGGCACTCAGTGACGCATGGCTCAACGAGCAGTGCCCTGTCATATGCTGCACATCACTCGGTGTTGGAGGAGCTCAGTCTAGCAAGGTTCACCTGTTTAGTTCACTTGGTTTTCTAACTTACCATACTTAAAGTGAGCCTAAGTTGACTTAACTCATCCTAATCAATTTTGGCCCACACGTGTCTCTACACAAAATATTCATTTTGGAGATTTAGAAATGCTGGCAAAGCGTACAAGGATCATTACTTCAAAACTAGTGCTAGGGCAGGAGAAAGAAGAAGCTGCCAGCTCATTTCAATATTGCTCATGTTAGGAACCAGCAGACAATGCTCAAACAAGAGGGGAGTGGTGGCATTATGCAAAGGTTGAGTATGAAGGTAAGCATTAAAACCAGCATACAAACCTTTCTAAATACCAGAAGATAAAAAAGAGAAAAAAAAAGGAGGTAGGGCAAGTGAAATAAACCGCAGACAAAACCCCACTTATTTAAAAGA